GACACACACAGACAAACAAAGACACACAGAGACACACAGAGACACACACGCACACACACCCACACACACACACACGTGCAGACACACACGCATGTGCAGACACCCACAACACACACACACACACACGCGCGAACAGACACACACGCGCAGATAGACACACACATATGCGCGCGCGCACAAACACACGCGCGCACAGACACACACTCGCACAGACACACACGCGCAGACACACACACAAACACACACACACACACATACACACACACACAGACGCAGACACACACACAGACAGACAAACAAACAGAGACAGAGACAGAGACACACAGATACACAGATACACAGATACAAACACAGAAACAAACACAGACACAGACACACAGACACAGACAGACAGAAGACACACACACACACACACGCCAAACACACCAGACACACAAACACACAAACACACACGCACGCACGCACGCACGCACGCACGCACCCACACACACACACACACGCACCCACACGCACCCACACGCACACACCCACACACGCGCACAAACACACACACACACACACACACCCACCCACCCACCCAGCCACCCAGCCACCCACCCACCCACCCACCAACCCACCCACCCACCACCCACCCACCCACGCGCACGCGCACGTGCACGCGCACAGGCACACGCACGCGCACACACGCACACGCACCTGCACACGCACACTCGTATATGTATACGCGCACGCGCACGCGCACACGCACACGCACACACGCACACGCGCACACGCACACGCTCGCACACGCACAAGCACACGGACACGCACTGGCACAGGCACAGGCACCCGCACGCACGCACGCACCCACGCAACCCGCACGCACATGCACACGCACACGCACCCGCACACACGCACGCACCCACGCTCCCGCACGCACGCAGAGATTCCTATATAAATGTCTTTGGCGCATTTCTGGCTGTAATACTCATTGATTTCCCCATGATTTCTGCGCCCTGCTCCGATGGCCTCGATCTCGGTCGCGACTGGCATCGCGACTGCCTGCATCTGTAACTCTGCTGCCTGTCTCTGTCCCCAAAGCCTTCAACAGCCCTAACTGTGGTCCAGCAAAGGCATGGCCTCGATTTCTCCTACTTCCGCGGCGATCACCTGCAAAGAGAAACGTGCGCACTAGACATTCAGACTTTGGTTCGGTTCAGCTGCTGTGCTGAATGTTCCTCTTGCTGACGAGCTGCCATCCCGATCACGACTTCGGGAAGACCGCCGTCTAGGTGTAGGAGAGCCCCTTCGCTTGGATCGCGACCGTCTTCGGCTTGGAGACCGTGACTTACGCTTGCCATCTGCAGACCGGGACCTGCGCTTGTCCTTTGAACGGGATCTTCGCTTGTCCTTGGAACGGGGCTTGTCCTTGTCTTTCGACCGGGACCTGTCCTTGTCTTTCGATCGGGGCTTGTCCTTGTCTTTGGACCGGGACCTGTCCTTGTCCTTCGAACGGGACTTGTCCCTGCCTTTTGAACGAGACTTGTCCTTGCCTTTCGAACGCGACTTATCCCTGTCTTTCGATCGGGATTTGTCCTTGTCTTTCGAACCAGGCTTCTCCTTGTCTTTTGAACCGGACTTGGCCCTGCCTTTTGAGCCTGATTTTTTCTTGTCCTTGGTCTGCTTTTTCTTGTGCTTCGAGCCGGACTTGACTTTGCCTTTGGAAGGGGATGTGCCCTTGTCTTTCGAACGGGACCTGCCCTTTTCGTTCGAGTCGGTCTTGACCTTGTCGTCAGGTGACTTCAAAGTCGTTTCCTTCTCTGGTGTGCGGGAAGGTTTTCCTGACAGGCAGGCTGCTACAGCCGCACCTTCAACACAAACACTGCAGCCAAGGCGCCTTTTTCGTCGCTCTTCGACTCTTGCTTGTCGCCTTTGCCAATTTCAGGCTATGTCAGGCTGCAAACCCCTGCAAACATGAATTGTGGCGTAACCGCACCGCCTTTTGCTTGCCCCTAAAAGAAATGCAGAAGCGGGCAACTTCGCTTCTGACCACCCCCTGTATCTGTCTCAGCGGGACATGAGTAATGTCAGTTTCCCTTGGGCAATCACTAGTACTACGCCCGCGCCTGGGCTTTTGGAGCGGCCAGGCGGCATATGCCTCACAGCTTGCGGCTTGCTGGGTGAGAGGTGACGCGGTATTGCTTCACGGGAGCCGCAGCACAAGTCAGCCCTAGCTTGGCGGAATTTTCTGGCCTGGCGCTCAAGGGAAGGTCACGCACCAGCCTCGGCCCAGGCTCAATGACTCAAGTTTTCCCAACATCGCCGCGCTCGAGGGCCCAGCACGCACCATGCAAGTGGCCCTTTGGCCAGCGCCGCGTTTGAACCTCCGCGCCTACCCTCTGAAACTGCGGAAGAAAGCAACATTGCAAAGCATGCAATGGAAGGCCTTGGGTGCGTCAGAGCCATGCACGCCGCAAGCCGAAGCCATTTTTCTAGCCGGTTTCGACCAAAGCGTTCCACTCTCCTGAGCCCCGCCCGTGCCATGGATCCAGGTCCTTCATCCAGCTCTCCGCAATGGGTGGCCTTTGCACATGCGGCGATGCTGGGCTGGCAGCTGCCCTCGCTGTCGCACTAGGCGCCCGAAGGGAACAGCAGGCGCGTGCCCGCGGGCAGCTTGACACGGTCGGCGAAGTTCTCAGGGCCAAGGCATGAGCAAATTGGAAAGTCCAAAGCCAGGCAAGTTGCATGCAAAATGAACACGGGCCAAATCCAACATTCTGGCCTGTTCGATGAATTCGCGCAGTCTGGCTCCGGAAATGGAATCTCCATAGTTTGCCATCAGCCATTGTCGGGGCTCGTATTCATGTCCTCTGCGAATGCTCGATTTCGCCCCATGAACATTCTGCAAGCAGCTTTAGTATGCTTTAGCTGCAGGAGAAGTCTCTGTCGGCTTTGGCCAAAATGGTCTTCAAGCTCTCGCGGAAGTCTGACAAATCCTCAGCTACCAGGGATGCCAGCCACCATCATCTGGAATACAGTTGAGATACGCTAAACCCTTGCAAGTAACACGGTTTCCTTTGATTGGCAACCACAAACGGCTTTTGGCGGCACCTTTTGGGATGCCAGGTCACGTGGAAGAACTCGCCTGTCTTCTCGTTGACGTACTTCCATCCACCCATGATATGCCAATTCGTGAGCAGGGGGACGTCAAGAGCGAGAGCCTGTCGTGATGCTGTGCAAGCCCGGGCCTCTGGCAAAATTGGAATCTCTGTCTTACAGCATCCCACAATGCTTACATGGCCTGAGTTGAGACACGGGGAGATGCATCATGGACTTGAGGCAGGAACAGGAACTTGCTCTGCCTCACGTAGTCGAAGAACCCATCCTGACCCAGAAACTGGGTCTGTGTGATCTTGCCCTTGCAACTCTCGGGGATGCTGCATGCCTTCCTGTTTTGCTTGTCCTTGGTGGCCACAAGAACGCCCTTGATGTCAAACTCGGAGCACATCACCTCCAGCGCTTGCTTCACAAAGGTCCAGTTCTTGGCAAAGGAGGACCAGCCCACGCAGTCGTTGTGCACGTCCTGGTCCGAGCCGGAGAAGGTGAAGTCGTACTTCTTTGGAACAGCTGGCCCGGGCGGTGGCAAGGAAAAGTCGGACTGCGACATCAGCAGCAGTTTCACATGGGGCGGGAACACCTTCTCGGGCTCCCGGATCATATGCAGAAAACCCGGGAAAAGCCCCACATACTCATCCTCGGGAAACTTACCCGAGAAGGGGTTTGGAGGAACCTGCGGGAAATCTTCGAAGCTGCTAATGCCCACAAACAATATTTCATCCTTGTACTGCTGGTACAGCTCTTTCTGGAGCTTGGATCGGAACGGTGATCTGACCAGAATCAGATTGACAAACTCGCCCTTCTCCGTCCGCACGGGCTGGAATGGATATTCCCTAATGAGCTTCAAGTATGCAGGGTGGAGCTTGCTGGAGAGCTCCTTCTGTGGCTGTGTCGTCAAATCCTTCACCGGGGATCCTCTGAGAGCTGGATGAGGCGCGTCGGACCTTAGCTCGCGGATGAAATTGCGGTGACGCTTTTGCCTTAAGGACATAGTCGAGGTCAAAAGCGTTCGACCTGTTTGCAAAGTGGCTCTTGCAAGGTACCTCTCAAGGGAGAGAAGGGACCAATCTATTTTGTGAGCTCGGTGACACAAACCCCGTACCTCCCGCCTTGGCGTCGGGCTCGGCTTGGGCGTCGGGCTCGGCGTTGGGCTCGATTTGGGTGTAGGGCTCGGCGTCGGGCTCGGTTTGGGCGGGCTGGGTGTCGGGCCTGGGGGCTGCTGAAGGCTCGGAGGGCTTGGCGGGGCCGGGGTGGGGCCGCTCGGTTTGGGCGCCGGGACGTGCGCCGACATCGCCATCGCCGACCGCTGCTGCAGGGCCGAGAGCTCATCATGGGCCTTCCTAAGCAACGCAGCTGACACAAATGGTGACCTGATGAGTCCCAATGGTTGCTTCAGCGGTCTGCATGATCCGCATGGATTCCTGCTTGCGTGCTGCCCATTGGGCGCGTGAGATGGTTGCTCCGACTGCACGAAGGTGTGTGCTGTTCCTTTCTTACCTCCCTGAAAGAGGACTAAAGCTGGATCTGCCGATGCTGCACACATTGACGGCTTCTGAAAAGCATCTTCCAAGGGTAGGTAGCCGAGCCCGCAATCTGAAAACTTAAGAGGCAGTGCCAAATTCTGAGCGGACGAAAAAAGTGACGAGCTGATGCGTCTGCCCAACGCGAGAATCAAAGGCAGGCAAGCGAGACTGTTCGCAAGGCATCACGATCTGACACTACGTTAGCACGACCCACTTGGAACACTGGCCAGGAAGTGGAGCCATTCTGCTGTGCTGTGCTGTGCTGTGCTGTGTTGTTGGTGTGTTGTTGGTGTGTTGTTGGTGTGTTGTTGGTGTGTTGTTGGTGTGTTGTTGGTGTGTTGTTGGTGTGTTGTTGGTGTGTTGTTGGTGTGTTGTTGGTGTGTTGTTGGTGTGTTGTTGGTGTGTTGTTGGTGTGTGTGTGTGTTGGTGTGTGTGTTGTTGGTGTGTTGTTGGTGTGTGTGTGTGTTGGTGTGTGTGTGTTGGTGTGTGTGTGTGTTGGTGTGTTGTTGGTGTGTTGTTGGTGTGTTGTTGGTGTGTTGTTGGTGTGTTGTTGGTGTGTGTGTGTGTGTGTGTGTGTGTGTGTGTGTGTGTGTGTGTGTGTGTGTGTGTGTGTGTGTGTGTGTGTGTGTGTGTGTGTGTGTGTGTGTGTGTGTGTGTGTGTGTGTGTGTGTGTGTGTGTGTGTGTGTGTGTGTGTGTGTGTGTGTGTGTGTGTGTGTGTGTGTGTGTGTGTGTGTGTGTGTGTGTGTGTGTGTGTGTGTGTGTGTGTGTGTGTGTGTGTGTGTGTGTGTGTGTGTGTGTGTGTGTGTGTGTGTGTGTGTGTGTGTGTGTGTGTGTGTGTGTGTGTGTGTGTGTGTGTGTGTGTGTGTGTGTGTGTGTGTGTGTGTGTGTGTGTGTGTGTGTGTGTGTGTGTGTGTGTGTGTGTGTGTGTGTGTGTGTGTGTGTGTGTGTGTGTGTGTGTGTGTGTGTGTGTGTGTGTGTGTGTGTGTGGTGTGTGTGTGTGTGTGTGTGTGTGTGTGTGTGTGTGTGTGTGTGTGTGTGTGTGTGTGTGTGTGTGTGTGTGTGTGTGTGTGTGTGTGTGTGTGTGTGTGTGTGTGTGTGTGTGTGTGTGTGTGTGTGTTTGTGTGTGTGTGTGTGTTTGTGTTTGTGTTTGTGTTTGTGTTTGTGTTTGTGTTTGTGTTTGTGTTTGTGTTTGTGTTTGTGTTTGTGTTTGTGTTTGTGTTTGTGTTTGTGTTTGTGTTTGTGTTTGTGTTTGTGTTTGTGTTTGTGTTTGTGTTTGTGTTTGTGTTTGTGTTTGTGTTTGTGTTTGTGTTTGTGTTTGTGTTTGTGTTTGTGTTTGTGTTTGTGTTTGTGTTTGTGTTTGTGTTTGTGTTTGTGTTTGTGTTTGTGTTTGTGTTTGTGTTTGTGTTTGTGTTTGTGTTTGTGTTTGTGTTTGTGTTTGTGTTTGTGTTTGTGTTTGTGTTTGTGTTTGTGTTGTGTGTGTTTGTGTTTGTGTTTGTGTTTGTGTTTGTGTTTGTGTTTGTGTTTGTGTTTGTGTTTGTGTTTGTGTTTGTGTTTGTGTTTGTGTTTGTGTTTGTGTTTGTGTTTGTGTTTGTGTTTGTGTTTGTGTTTGTGTTTGTGTTTGTGTTTGTGTTTGTGTTTGTGTTTGTGTTTGTGTTTGTGTTTGTGTTTGTGTTTGTGTTTGTGTGTGTGTGTCTGTGTCTCTCTCTCTCGCTCTCTGTCTGTGTTTGTGCCAGTGCCTGTGTCTGTGTCTCTGTTCGCGTCTTTGTCTGTGTTTGTGTCTGTCTCTGTGTGTGTGTGTTGGTGGCTGGGTGGGTGGGTGGGTGGGTGGGTGGGTGGGTGGGTGGGTGGGTGGGTGGGCGGGCGGGCGGGTGGGTGGGTGGGTGGGTGGGTGGGTGGGGGATATTGTGCAACTTATTGCCTGCTGAAGCATGTTCGAGCCACTACTGCTGACCCCCAAGAGCGAGCCATTCCTGGAGTGCAACCACAAGCAAACGGACAGGGCCTCATCAGGGCCTTCCGGCATGTGGTGAGCAGCAGCGGCAGCAGGGACAGGAACTGAATGACGGATAATGGGGATGGCCATCAGCATAACAACCATTGCGCCGTTTTCCGGGAAGGGGGCAAGAATCGATATGAGTCAATATTGGAGTTCCCTAGCTACACATAACGTGCCGCCAAGCTGCGACGTGCTCAGCACTGGACCCTCCAGCTTGGAGACCGCCAGCAACTGCCGGCGGACACCCGTCTCCCCGGCTGGCCAAAGCTGCCAAAGCAGGATCACCTGGGAGCTTTATGCCATGGGGATCGCGGGAGTGTGGGGAGTGTGGGTTGGCTTGCTCCACGCAGGAGTGAACTGCACTTTTCAGCCAAAGAAACTGTGGGAATCGTGAGCAGGAGCACCAGTAGCAGCATCCACGGGTTCATCTTCAGCACCCTGCGGCATTTGCGCGACGTCACGCCATAATAACAGCGGCTCAGCATGGCGGCAGGAAAAGTCAGAGAAGCACGGCAGGTTCTTGGGTGAGTGGATGTGTTCGCAATGTAGTGGGTCGAGGTCCTTCGACTTTGCCCCCATTTTTTGACATGGTTTCCTGCATTGCTCCTGGAGGCAGTTGCTTGGTAATAAAGCTGCTTGAGATGGCCAATCACGTCGGGCAGCGAATCCTCACTGCCAAGTGCCAAACAACCTTCTTGGCACCTTTTTTTTTCCGTTGGCATCCCTTGTCTAGCTTCTTTGGCTACCATGCCCTTCCCGGTGACCCCTTTGGGGTGCTGCTGGGCAGGGGGGAAAAAAAAACAATGCTGAAACCGATGGCTTCTGCTGTGCCCCAACGTCAAGACATCGAGGATCAGCCGCTCCAGCCACAAAAGCATCTAGCTTTCTGGCTAGAACCCTAACCGTGCTCAGACTTGGAATTGAGCTTGGACTCCCTCTTGCTACTCGCAGGTGACTTGAACTGGAAGCCATAGACCTCGGTACCGGTCTAAACTTCCCCAAGAGCTGTGAGCCAGGGGTTGTTCCACACAAAGGTGCCTGGGATTCTCCGAACCGGCCTTTCGCCAGCTCCTGAACTCTAAACGTGCTGGCTGCAGCACCTAATTTTCTGAACAACTTGTCTTGGAGCCTTGGCCGCACCGGCAGCAAAGCAAAGCCAAGAGGCCAGTCCAGCCCAGCGGGCAAACCCCAAGCTCCGAGGCCCGCACCAGGGGCTTCACCTTCTGGCAGAACTCGGGCTCGAGCCTGACTTGCCCACGGGATGATGTTTGTTTTCCCAAAGGCCCGTTGTCACCCATGCGATGTCCGGACCCCACCTGCCCCACCTTTTATCCTTTCCCCCCCCCCTCCAGTCAGTCAGTCAGTCGGCTGGGCCCATCTGGTTGCCTCTCCGTGCCTCTCGGTGCCCCGGCGGGAGCTCCGCCCGGCCGGCCCGCACGCAAAGCCTCCGAGCTCTGAGAGGGTGGGGCCATTGCGGGGAACAACGCCGTCTTTGAAGGGAAGCGCTTGCCCCATCGGCACGAGTGGTCCGGCTAGCTTTAGCACAAGTCGAAAAGCTGTTGGATGCATGCTCCGAACGCGTGTCAGTCAGGTCCAAGGTGCAGTGAGACACCGCCTTTAAACATCTTCGAATGCGAGGGGTGGCAAAAGCAAACATAAGACACGCGTGCAAATCTCGGACCGCTCGCAGGGCCGGGCCCGGGTTGAAATGGGCGAACTCGGCCAGGCGGGTTTGAGGCCTGGAGAACTCGGAGTGGCTGAAGATCATAGGCTCTCCTGCATAGCTCCTGACGAAAATGACACCATGAATTGCATTTGAGCAGCCTAGCCAAATAAGTTTTAACCTCATCCACTATTCGCCATCCCTCAAAAAAAAGTATGGAATGTTTACTGAAACTGGACACCCCTAATCCATTACGGGTTTTGGAGTCTTGGGTTCGTATCACAAGGATTTGCAGGTTTCGGCGCATGGCTCGCGTCCAAAGAGACCTTCAGGCCAAGCCAAGTCGCGTTGGTGCGATCTTCCGGGCCCTGGGCCCAACTGGGTCCTGAAAGCCGATCTGGTCTCACTGAACCTCAGGACAAACATGTGCAAACGCCTGGCACCAGACCTGCCGCTGGGGTTGCAGCACATCTGGCCCTGGCAATTTGCAGGTGCGCAGATATGCGATGCTGATGATTCACCCCTCAAGAGCCCACGCCTTCTTTGGATGGAGGCTCAATGAACTTGGGCTTTTCCACTGCCTGGCGCAATCCATGTCCGATGCTATTCTTTTCCCCGGCCAGCGGCGCACCGCCGCGCCTTCCGGATGCTGGCTCCCAGCTCTGCGTTGGACTCCTTCGCCCGTGTCATCCCGTGGGGAACCCTTCAGCTCCAGGAAAGTTCTTCAGATTTCATGGTAGACGGCTAGCGGTTCAACCACCATCTGTGCTTAGTCACTTGCACCCCGCCCGTCCTCAACAGTCTTGGGTAACGCACCTAGCTGTGCCCCAGCACCGTCACCACGAATGTGGCGCGCAACCTCCAATTGGGCAACGCCAATGCCACCCTGCCATCAATGTCACTTAGCATACTTACGCATACTTATCATTGACGGCTGTGGAGGCAAGTGGCCTCAACTCTGTGTGCAGTAAATTCGATCTGTGCGCTGGCTTCCAGAACTTCGCACGCCCGTCTCACAGGGGCTTGTCTTCAAAAAAGCAACGTGATAAACACACACACACATGCACAAATACACACATACACCCATGAACACACACACACACATAGACACACATACACACATACACACCTACACACACCTACACACATTGACACACATGCACACATGCATACAACATATATTTCAAACATACATACATTACATTACATTACATTGCATTACGTTACATTACATTACATTAATACATACATTACATACATTACATACATTACTTTACATACATAACATAACATACAATAACATAACATAGCATACCATAACATGCCATAACATACCATAACATAACATACATTACATTAATAACAAACAAACAAACAAACATACATACATACATTACATTACATACATACATACATACATTACATTACATTACATTATATTACATTACATTACATTACAGTACATTACATTACATTACATTACATTACGTTACATACATACATACATACATACATGCATTACATTACATACATACATACATACATACATTACATACATTACATTACATTACATTACATTACATTACATTACATTACATTACATTACATTACATTACATTACATTACATTACATGCATACATACATACATACATTACATACATACATACATACATGCATGCATACATGCATGCATACATACATACATACATACATACATTACATACATTACATACATTACATACATTACATACATACACACACACATACATACATACATACATACATACATACATACATACATACATACATACATACATACATTACATACATACATTACATTACATACATACATTACATTACATTACATTACATTACATACATACATACATACATACATACATTACATACATACATACATACATACATACATACACATTACATTACATTACATTACATTACACATTACATTACATTACATTACATTACATTACATTACACATACATTACATACATACATACATACATACATACATACATACATACATACATACATACATACATACATACATACATACATACATACATTACATACATACATACATACATACATACATACATACATACATACATACATACATACATACATACATTACATACATACATACATACATACATACATACATACATACATACATACATACATACATACATACATACATACATACATACATACATACATACATACATACATACATACACATACATTACATTACATTACATTACATTACATTACATTACATTACATTACATTACATTACATTACATTACATTACATACATACATACATTACATACATACATACATACATACATACATACATACATACATACATACATACATACATACATACATACATACATACATACATACATACATACATACATACATACATACATACATACATACATACATACATACATACATTACATTACATTACATTACATTACATTACATTACATTACATTACATTACATTACATTACATTACATTACATTACATACATACATACATACATACATACATACATACATACATACATACATACATACATACATACATACATACATACATACATACATACATACATACATACATACATACATACATACATACATACATACATACATACATACATACATACATACATACATACATACATACATTACATACATTACATTACACATTACATTACATTACATTACATTACATTACATTACATTACATTACATTACATTACATTACATTACATTACATTACATTACATTATTACACGTTACATTACATTACATTACATTACATTACATTACATTACATTACATTACATTACATTACATTACATTACATTACATTACATTACATTACATTACATTACATTACATTACATTACATTTATATTACATCACATTGCATTACATTACATACATACAGGTACATGTACATGTTGGGGAGCGGGTAAAGACCCGGCAGCAGGGCCACGAAAAACATCCAACAAGCTCGGGGGAAGGTATTCCTTTCAACTCCCTGGCCCACTCCCAAAAATTCTGCAGCCAGCCGGGCCTGGAGCCTGCTAATTAGTACAGCATCCAAAACAAGACAAGCGCCAAGCGCAAGCCTCTGTTCCAAATTCGCCCCCAGCTTCCAACCCATGGCTTGCGCTCGGGCCTTCCACCGGTTGCGGCACAGCGCGGCCCCCCAAAGCTCGCTGTCGGGTCGGACGCGCTCGGGGGCTGCCTGGAATCCCAGGACTCGCCAAGGACGCCTGGAATCTAAGCTGCGGCTCCTCAGACCCATCTCCAACCACCCGATGGAGCACTGGAGATTCCAGCCTGGCTGCATTTCAGCACGCGTAGGTGACATCTGCCACGCACCGCTTCTGAACGAGTTGGCGCAACATTGAGGGTGCCGCAAAATGGCATCCCCACCGCCAACGAGCTGGATATCCAGATGCTTGCGCTCCATGCCGCTGGTCAGAACTGGGGTGGCAGTGTTTGTGGTGTCACTGGCAAGTGATGACAAGGCGCTTGACATTGTGAGCTCCGGGCATCCCATCATGCTTTCCACAACAGCCCCGCCACTCACAAGCCTTAGCCCAGTTGCGTAGGTTGGCCTGCTTGTCTACAAAGCATGGCGACCACCATGTCCGTATTCAATTCAGACCAGGCCAAACAAGCAGGGCAGGCATGAGGATCTTGGGCGGGGGGCTCTCCGCATCCTGCCGCGTGTTGAGGTCCGCAGTCTGACCGATGCCCAGAAGCGCCCAACGAAAGGCAAAAAACATGCTCGCCTTGGGGCCGGGAGGTTCTCCGGATGTCTCAACCTCCCTCACAGCCTGAAGCCATCGGATTACTTGTGCTCGCTATCTCCTCAGCCCCCGGCATCCTCAACTTCTCGCCCAAGCTGCCAAAGCGAGAAGCCCAAACTGCCCTGGCAGTGGCTCTTTGGCAAAAAGCTGTGGGCCAATGGACATGTCCTCATGGTCGGGATAGTCCAATATCTTGCACGAGCTGTTAGGAATAGAGTCCTCTCTGCCGCAAAACGGCAGCACAGCTCCGCTCACAGCTAATACAAAAATATCCGGGCTTCCAAAAGAATCATAAACAATCCTCAACGGGTGTCTGGGCTCGCTTCGGGCCCTCAAATGACCAGCTGCAAATTCAACAAGCTCAACAATGCTAGGGCACAGGCCATCCCACCCAGTGAAAATACATCACATGTGATGCAAAAGCATATGTATATGCATGCATGTGTGTGTGTGTGCAGGTGTGGGTGCGCACGGCTTTACCCTACATTTTTTCAGATCAGCCACCAGGCCAGCTGTGACGAGCCCTTGTCCTCGACAGCTCCGGGTAGCGCACCTCAGCTTGGCATCCGGTCCCAAGCCACTCGTTTGCAGGTCTTGAAGTGATAGGGAAGGCCCAAAGCAGCCAAGTAGGGATGGCCTGTTGGCCTGATGGGGCGATGCCATAAATCCGGCACGGATTCAGGCTCTGGTGCATTTCTCGAGGGTACCCATTGTTTGGTGGGTTTAAAGGGAAGCCAAAAGGAAAATCCAATTCTGGTGGGCACCCAAAAAAAGACAAAGCCATTTGAATGTTCTATGAGGATGACTGCCAAGTTCTATTTTTAACATTTTTCACCACGGGGTGAGCTTGAGGCAATGCTGCTGATGATCGGGCTTCAAGGGGCGGCAGATTTCGCTGTTTCGGCCAGTGAAAGGTGAGAATTGACCAGGGTGTCGATGCAGCGGGCCGCTTTCGAGCGAAGTCCAAAGTGACGAGCCGTGAAATCCTTGTCATGTCGCTTTGTGAGGTCCTTCCCGACTACTTGTGAAACTTGAGGAGCGGGTGAACGAAAGCTAGCAGTTGTTGCATGAAATGGGTCGGTGACAGTGGAGATTCATAGGTAGCTTGTGTACAACGAGAGGCCCGGCAAGATTCGTAGGATGCGACACGCAAACGCACATGGTGGCGTGGCAAACCTTGAAAAATGAAAACAACGAGAGGCGTCAGAAGCTGTCTTAAAGCACCTCTGGGTTCTGCATGCTGCGTGTGCAAAGATTCTTGCGAGGTGGTTTACTGAGAAGACTGAGGTCTCAAATGAACAAGCTGAATCGGTGGAACATGTAAAAGTTCGTAGCACCAAGTCCAAAACGGGCAAACCGAGACTGCTGAAACACTGAGCCACTGCCCGGGGGGAGGGGTGGACCAAGGAGGAATCGAGCCTGAGACACGGGGGGGGGGGGTCTAAATAATTGTTTTTTCAATCTTTTCGGCTCAAATAATTGAAAAAAACAATCTTTCGGCAGTTGAGCCCCTTACCTTGCTTACGCAAGGAGAAACTTCAGCTAGCTAAAGCTAGCTTTCGTGATTATTGTTGAAACCTGGGATGCCTACGCTATGAGGACTCACATGTTCCCTTGGCCGAACTAAACCTATACAGTGAGGCAAGTGACTTCCCGTTCAGCTGAAGTTCAGGGACGAACAAAACAACAAAATGCCTAAACGCCAACCCTTGTCGGCACTTGATGCCGGGAGCTCTTTGTTCATCATTGGTAGCGGCAACGCGCAGCACATATCGAACTCTATCGCTGCGGACATCCCAAGGCCTCTGAGCGCCGCGCCCTCTCGCAGTGGATCATCCAATATTGAAAACAATCTCTCGGTAGTTTGCCTGCCAACTGACACATAGGAATCACCAGGTTGACGGCAACCGCCGCCTGCAACACAGCAAGCTGCTGCTCAGCAGCATGTGAGGTCGCCAATCATCACCTCACACAAAACGGCGGCTTGCCCACACAGTCACGCTCGCCCGTCTGAAAGTGCTACAGCGGGTCAACCCAAGAACCATACAAAGTCGCAAGGCCCAGGATGTTCGCGTCACCTGCACTCCGGTGAGCTGGCAAAGCCTTCTCGTTGCAGGTTCAGGCCGGCGCACCTGCGCCCACCCTTCGGGCTGCAGCGTTCTGCTGTGTGCGGCCTCGAAAATAACCCCATATGCCAGCGGAGTACGCAAAAGGCCAGGAGCTGAAGCAAATCGCTAGAACACTCGGAACACTCGATGGGTGACAATCCTAAGCCTCTGGCCATAGGAGATGCGGGCGGTGAAGCAGGCCGGTCGCCTGAAGCCCCAGCCACTGAATGCTGACTATGGCAATCACCGCTCCTTGGGCGAGCGACCAAGAGCTGTCACCGTGGCGCATCAGCACCAAACCTCAGCATTCATGCCATGGCCCACCAAAGCTCAATGTTCTGCATGTGGCAGTCGAACATGGGCCACCAGCGGAGCTTCGTGCTAGAGACGGCGATTCGCCAGTGGAACCTGCGGCAAGAATCAGCTAGCAACCCGAACCCGGTGGCCAAGAGTTTAGTGCTGCGGGCCTGTGATGTTGGTACACGAGGTCTAGATGACCTTCAGTGCGTGTGGGACATGTTCAGGCACGGTGGTTCAAAGCATTGGAGGCAACACACCTAGCTACATTGCCCCATGCCAGTTTGATAGGTATCTATGTAAAGAATCTAATGTGGCTACCAGTGATTTGGTGCTGAAATGAAACCGATTAGCACATGCCCATACCGATGCGACTCGAGTATGTGTGTATGTACATATGTTCGGTTATGTATGCCTGCTTTGTTTGCACCGCGGACACGTTCCATCGATCGGCCTTGCAAGAGGCACCCGTCATATGGCACCCGCAGCAGTTTGAAGATCGCCTGCGACACCGAGCCCGGATCCACCGATTTCACATCGGAACATGCGCGGAGCTCCGGAGCCTGCGCGGCTCGCACTGCCGGCCCGGGCCCGGGCCTGGAAAATGAAAGGGATATATTCAAGGGGTCTGAAGCACCTTTCTTACACAGCCTTCCATACAGCCCCTTGGGCCCTTGGGCATCTCCCTGGTACACAAACCTTCCCATTTGGACAGGATACCCGGACAATTCCCGACTCAGAGAATGGCATGCGATGCGGAACGAGCCAGCTCCAGCGGCCCTTGCTCGAACCGTGCCAAGTTTCGAGGGGGAAGGGCTGGGAATGGTGCTCGATGCCAAAAAAAAAAAGAGAGAAAGGTGCTCGGGCTGGATGCATCTGGGCCCATGCGTATCCTTCGATCAATAAAGCAAGCGACTGCGAAGCTGCATGGCTTGCCAGGCTACCTGTGCCGGGTGTGCAGGCAAGACGCATTGTCTTTGGCGGGTACCAGCCAGTCCTGGGCAAACAAATCCCCAGTGCTTCTTTGTTGTACGCGACCAAAGTAACTCAAGGCCGACTCAAGGAGATCAACTGAGCCCGCGCCATCTCAGCCATCTTAAATTGCAGACTCCCATCCAACCCGATGCCCGCCAAGTGTCTTAAGCAAATGACCCGCCAGGATTGGCAGGGTAAGCTGCACCACCTCCTGGGCGAAATGGTCAAGCCTGCTAGACGCTGCACCAATCATGCAAAAGCAGCTTTTCCAGAGTTTGGCAGTCCCAGGCTCTTTTCCAACGTTCGTTACATGACACAACTCTGCATTTGCCAGCCGGATCTGCGGGAAAGAGATGGCTCAGGGCGCAAGCCTTCGATTCCGTTCGCGACTCAGACCTCAGGCCATCTCACTCGAAACCTGTCGAATTCACTTTGCCCCACAAAGGGCAAGCACTTGCCTGGCAGCTTCGCTGGTGCTGAGCTTGCTTTTGCTCTTGTTCCTGGAGTCCTTGCTTTTCCCACCTCGGCAAGGCACCCTCTCTCTCCTTCCGCCAGCTGCGAAGCTGTGGCCCTGACGATCCTTGGATGGAGAGCCCTTCGAGGGCCCGGAGCCCTTCGAGGGCCCAGAGCCTTTTGAGCCCGAATGCACCTGGCGTCTTCCAAGTCTCTCCTCCGCCAGTCGGCTGAGCTGACCGCGGAGTCTGCGCTGGAGCTCGGGCGCGAGTCCTGCGAAGCGGGACTCGGGGCTCGGGCGGCCAAAAGCACCTACCGCACATCACGGCGAAAAAGCAAACCCCACCAGGACACGGCCAGGTTAGTTCTGATAGGCCCATCACACATCAAGCTCGGCCATCTGCCTCTTGAAGCAGCTTCATCGCCACTGGCCCGGGCTTCGGTCTGATGAGCACCTGCTCCAAAAAAAAAACTGACCGCCTCCATCCCGCCATGGGTCTTGTCTTTGTATGTCTTTTTCGTTTGCAAGCCTTGTCCTCTAAAACTTTGAGGTGATAAAAGCGGCGCTGCACCATGAGCATTCTCGCCCACTGCTGTAGCCTGGCCGTGCAACCAGTAAGCAGTAAGCCGCACCACCTGCGGCGATAAGTTCGAGGCTTTATGGCGCTCAAATTCCGAGCCATCCCGTCCGTCTCCTGCGATACGCCGGCTGAACGCACGCTTATGAACCCCCGTGCGCAACTCTGAGGTGAGGGCCGACTCTGCAAATTGAGGCTTCATGGACATGGCGGCCACCTTGCACCAGGTACTCACAGCTGTCTTAGCAGACTTGTTTTGCTTGCAACTTCTCCTTCTGCAAATTGCGAGCAAAGTGCCAGCGAGCATTTCTACAGCCTGCACCCCATCAAGCAGTACACTGCTCCCCTACAAATGGCACCCCAACCCCTTGCGGTGCCGCTCCATAGCAGGCTGACGTAGGCATCTACATGCCGCGCTCTCCCGAATTAACTAGCACCATCTTCAATTGTGCATCCACATGGTCGGAGATATTTCTCAGGCAATACTCCTGTCCGGGGCGGACGACCATGGAGTCGCCTGTTGCGAGGGTCAAGATCTCTGAATCGACAGCTGCATTGAACATCCCGTTCTGGCAAAATGTCACGTAAATGAACAGGGACCGATCTGCAGCTAGCTCCTCTGGAGTGTTGAAGGAGCGCGGAGGGATATTGATGTCGCAGCTCATCCAGTTGCCCGTGTCCAAGCCAACTCTGATCTCGCAAGCGGAGGTTGAGCCTGCGGCAATGGGCACTCGGACGAAGCCGTTCTCACTGTGAGGGCTGTGGGCTGCGAGTGTGGCGGCGGCCGCTGCACCGGCGGCTTCCGCGGCATCCTCCATGTCCACCCGAGGGAATCGGGGCCGAGGGGTTCGCTTGGGCCGTGCAGTTCGGGCCTTCTTGGCCGCCTTCTCCTCCGGCACTTCGGAAGCCGCCTCTGGGAAGGTCGAGTCCGAAGCATTGCTCTGGAAGGGGCTGCAGGCGCCAAACTTGCCGTCTGGCTCCTGCCGCGCAGGGTCCTCGCCCAAGTTCATCTGCAAGGGGAGGGGCTCTTCGTTCTTTCCAATTGGCTGGGCCACAAGCACTGCACAAACCGATGGACAAGCAGACCCTGGCACTCGCTCATACAACACTCGCTCATTCTTCCAGCCTTTGAGCACACGCATGTGCTTGCGCTGAGGCCGGCCCTGAGCATGATTGCGGCTCCGGATGTTATTCACATCCACCTGCACCAGCTTGAAATCGCCGTCCCGCTGCAGACGAATCGGCTCCTGCTGAGGCCGTTTTCTGCGCACTGGCTTGTCTGGCGTGGTCTGCTGCCCTTGGTCCACCGCCGTTGAAACTTGAGGTGGCGTCAACACCAGCGGTGAATGTTGGTCCACGCCGGCCATGTCCACATTCGATGCTGGTGGCGATGTTGGTACATACTCTGAAGGGGAGGCCGGATTGGCAGGATCCGCAAGTGCCTCTCCAGCAGCAAGGCCCATGGGGATTGCACCTTGCGACATGGGCGGCTGCGTTTGCGTGGGCGGCTGCGCTTGCACGGGCGGCTGCGCTTGCATGGGCGCCTGCGCTTGCATGGGTGCCTGTGCAGGAGGAGACTCTGGCAGTGGATCCTGGAAGGATGGCTCAGCAGCAAGGCCCATGGGGATTGCACCTTGCGACATGGGCGGCTGCGTTTGCGTGGGCGGCTGCGCTTGCACGGGCGCCTGTGCTTGCATGGGCGCCTGCGCAGGAAGAGACCCTGGCAGTGGATCCTGGAAGGATGGCTCAGAGGCAAGGACCATGGGCATTTCACCTTGCGACATGGGCGGCTGCACTTGCATGGGCGCCTGCGTTTGCATGGGCGCCTGCGCTTGCATGGGCGCCGGCGCTTGCATGGGCGCCGGCGCTTGCATGGGCGCCTGCGCAGGAAGAGGCCCTGGCAGTGGACCCTGGAAGGATGGCTGCTGCAATGGCCCCTGCTGCCACTGCCCCTGTCCAGCAGCGAGGCCCATGGGCATTGCACCTTGCGACATGGGCGGCTGCGCTTGCATGGGCGGCTGCGCTTGCATGGGCGGCTGCGCTTGCATGGGCGGCTGCGCTTGCATGGGCGCCTGCGCACGAAAAGGCCCTTGTGTTGATGCCATCATCTGTGGCGCCGCCGTGCCCTGCATGCCCTGCATGCCCTGCATTGGATGTGCAGCAATGGGGCCTTGGCTTGACATGCCACGCCCAGGGAGCAATGCAGACATTCCCATCATGGGAGGAATCGGTGCGACTCCTGAGTGGTCCCGGTGGAATGGTGGCATGCCTTGGCCATAGATGGGCGCCCGTGGAGGCAAGTTGTATGGCATCGAGCCTTGCGCAGCCCCGAAGTTCCAAGTGGGCGGTGCTCGCTGCCCGGCAAGGACATCTGGAAGGCGGCCTTCGCTCCTCGGCTCCGGCACTTGGCCACCGTGGCTGAAGCCATGACCTTGGCTGCCATAGCCCTGGCTATGGCCTTGGCTATGGCCTTGGCTATGGCCTTGGCTATGGCCAAACTCCAATGGCATGGGCCCCGCGCTTGTCGGAGCAACTCCGGCTGGTGCTGTCGCTGGCGCCGCTGGTGGCATGGTGGCTGGCGCCGCCGGTGGCATGGTGGCTGGCGCCGCTGTTGGCATGGCTGGCGCCTCGTGCGTTGGGCGCGGTGCTGCGGGCAGCGGGCCAGCTGTGGCAACCGAGTCCTCAGACCTGTCTGGCTCAAGGATAGGGGCCCTTGAAGGAGCAGGGTGTCGTGGCTGAGGGCTCAGCGATCGTCCCAGGGAGCTGGGTAGCTCTGATGGACCCAAGGACGTATGGTTGTGGCTGGCTGTTGGGGGTGGCAACCGCGGCACCCCTGTGCGCAGCTCTTGTGAATCTGCTAAGCTGGTCGGAGCGGGCTCGGGTCTCAAGTAAGCCGGTGGATCTGCCTCCGCATACCTACCTGGGTGCACAGAACTTGGTGCCGGGCCGCCGGGGCCCGCAGGCGCTTCCGGGCAAGGGAAGGATGCGTTACAAGGCATTCCGTGTTGGCAGCACTGTGGCATGCCATCTCCATGCCAGCCAGGATGGCAATCTCGTTGCTGCTGGGCCGGCTCCTCCAAAGACTCATCAGGTGCCGGCACTCGCAAGGGCACATGGTAGTGGCCATCCTGGAAGAAAGAGGCCAAAGAGTCCAAGGACTCCTCGGTGCGAGGGGAGCATCCCATGACGCTGTCCTCGATCAAGCTTTGGGGCTGGCCACGCTCATGGTCCCGACCCGCATCCCGGCCGTCCCTGCCATCGTAGCCCTCCCGGCCCCTCTGGCCATCTTCGGCGCGCGGGGGTGACAAGGATCTGCGGCCCCGCACCGGGGACGGCATAATGCGCAGAGGCATTGGGGAGGGGGCGCGAGGACCTGGAGCACTTGGGCCTAGGCCTTCAAAGTCCAGCGCAGGCGGGGAGCCTGGGACTCGGGTCTTCTGCGGGCTCGCCGGGCTTGCGTCCATCTCCGTCAGCTGGATCTCATCCACGTAGCCATCCTCACCTGGGCTTCCTGCCAGGCCCTCGGAGGGTGAGTCGACCTGCGGCGAGCTGATGGCAAGGTCGATCGAAGGAAGTCCATCTGCCTCCAACCGCGCCGGCATAACAGGCGGACCGCAGCAACAGGCAACTACAAACCATGCAAAAAAGACTTGAGCAAAACATATCGAAGCATGCCCTGAGCGCTCGATCATGTCTCGCCTGCCGGTGCCGCTCTGCTGCATGACCACTCACCACTGACACAACCACTATAAGCCCTTTGCCTTCTGCTTGTTCGCCATTGGGTTCCTCACAGGTTCGCCATGAAAGCTTTCACCAACAGATTGGCGCAAGGCCTCTGGCCGGTGCCCGCGGCCCGGTCCCGGAGCGGAAGATGCGTCAAGGGCCTTGCTTCCTTGATTTTCTGTCTGGAAGGCCATGTAGCTGTTTGTTCATCCAATATTGTCTTCAATGCCCAGCCATGCGGTTGCTGCAGCTCGAGGCATTTTGGGTAGAAGCACCCCTTCACTGTGTGGCCATGGTTGCCAATTGCCCATTGCAGCCATGTCCTACGCAAAGCTCCGCGGCCAAACATAGACGAGCGGGACCTGCCGTGAACATCCTGGAAAGGCGAAGCGGCACTCGCCTAGCCTCCAAGCACAACTGTGCATTCCGCATAAATGCCGTTTGAATGTTTTACCTGAAGCATACGCTGCATTGAGCAAGTTCGTATATATCTTCATGGGTATGTGAAACCATGCGGCACATTTGCCTAGAGCCATTGCTTGGCCTTGGGCAGGATTGCCTTTTGCTGCAACGCGCAGCTGAGTTCCAGCTTGTGATGCAGCTCAGGTACACTTCACTGAAGGTGAGGCAACCAGAAGCAAAGCAGGGCACCACTTCCCATGTAGCTATCGCACCCCGCGCGTATGACACCACCCAGTCCAGCAGTCTGATGCCCTTGGGCATGCTGAGCACTCGGGTGGCCGGGAAGTAGATGGGCCCGCTGAATCATCCATCCAGGCTGGCGCGTCAGCCGCGTCAGCATGTCCATCAGGATTCAGACTCATCGGCCTGCCAGCATTGAGGCACACTCAGTCAACGAGCTCCCTTGAAGCGGCCTCCTCTCACAGCCTGATCAGGATGGCGGTAGTATCCTGACGGCACAGATTGTTCCCACCTGCACTGCGGGGCAAGCAATACTATCGGCGAAATCACGTGAAATCAAACTGGCCGGGCTGACATCGCATGTTTCGCCCTCTTCCTCTGCACAGCCCACATGTCTGAAAAAAAATGCACACAAGATCTCAACCATCCACTTGCCACTGCATCATCGTGCATCCTGTCTCCAGCGTTTTCGTGCTTCGCGCTGAAGCTTTTGTAGTGTCCTGCGGCCCACTTTGCACGCGGCTGCGTGACCCCCCCCTCCCCGGTGCCTCTTGATCGCTCACACCAGGCGGGATCGAGGAGTCGGGCAGTCCTGGAAGGACCATCCGTTGCCAAGATCTTTGCGATTGCCTGCATGACTCGCCGCATCCAGAATGCCAACCTTCCGGCCACAAAGACTTGCCTTCACGACGAACTCTGAGTCCAGAAATTCCCAGATGCCATCACCTAAGTCAACCAAGCAGCAACTGCTTGGAGTTGTTCCCGGCAAACGTGCAGCTCAAAGCTCTTGCCAGCAGAATGAAGGGCTTCCTTGCCAGCTTGACCTTGGCGCAACTTCAACAGGGTTCCACACTTTACTACTCCAGGTTAGACTTAAACCTCACTCCCCCCAAAAGGAGAAGCCCTGGGTTTAAGTCTATCTTGGGGCAGTCCAAAAGTGGAACCCTGTCCCCACACCTATTTGCGCCCCAAAAAAAACCACCGCCTCCACCACCGCCACGTCCGGAACCGCAGTCACGCCAACCTCCTTCGCCAGCAGGTCACCCAGGGACCTGGACCTGGGTCTCAGGTGAAGCCACGAAACGAGGCAAGGGACTGGGCCCTCGGCTTGCACAGCCCAGGCAGCTCCTGCAAAGCCAACTTTCAGGAAACTCGCATGGAGACTTGCTACTCCGTTACTCCTGCCCGCGCGCGAAGACGCGATGAACCTGGCTCCAGGTTTTTGCAGATTTGGTGGGATCAAGTGTTGCCCGCTCGTCTTTGACATCCTTTTCCATGACCCATGCATCGCAAGCACTGTGCGTTGGCTGAGAAAAGCATTGCAAGCACCATGCGTCGGCTGAGAAAAGCACCACCCAGCCATCGGGGTAGATTTGAGATCGCACCTGCACACCACCGCTGACTCTTGGCACCACGGCGGGCACCAACCAAGCACCTCTCCACCCGCAGCGTCGATACGCTCCTCGCAAGCGCAGCGACGGATGTATCACAAAAAGCAGGGATCCTTACAGAAAAAGCCATGTGTTTCAAATGGTTGCCAAATGTATCGCCCTGAAAAGGCTTCGAGCTTGCCTGCTCTGACATGACGTCGGGCTTGTGGTCCTGAGAACGCCAGTCAAAGAGTCAAAGCTTGTCTTGGTCGCTGTTGACCCCCCTGCAAAAAGTTTAACTTTTTGGGGCTTTAGTGGAAAACAAATTTATTTCCCAAAAAGTTAAAGTCTAAAGATCCAACCCAATAGCAGTCAAGTTGTTTTGCTTGAAACATCACACGCTTGGCAGCGGCACGCGGTCCTGTGTGGCAAAAACCAAGCCGCCAGTATGCTCTAGCCCGATGACACACCTGGTGACACGGGCAGCTAACATCTACGTGTATACTATGTGTATATTAACAAGTCACATGAAATACATACGCATAGTGAACGTCAGTGGTCTGTGTGCAATGACCCAGCGCAACTAAAGCCTGCAGTCTCCACAGTGAGCCATGAAGACGGTGCTGCCCTTGTACAACTCAGCGCGAAGTCGGCTTGCTGTGCCCCGGGTGAAACACCATCACAAGCACAAGGATGCGAGCAAATGAAAGTACTGCGGCACATGCTCGCGGGAAAGTTGTGGCTAGGAATTGGGGTCCAGCTGTGAGTCAGCTGCATGAAGCGCCCGTGCAAATATGCAGAATCAGCCCTGCTTGGGGAAGCGACTGCCATGGCGATAGCAGAACCACTCCCCTGCGCAAAGCAACGCCAAACAAGTGGCTCGGACAGATGCTGCCGTAGTAGCGTAATCAGCCTCCCATCACATCGCTTTCGTGCAGCGCGCCTCGCAATCCCAGCCAAACTTGGTCGCATGGGAGTGCAAATCCTCTGCAAGCGCCGCTTTACCATGGGAACGGATTCAAGCAACTGCAAAAGCAATGGTGCCCCTGGCAGGTTGCAAAGCACACAGGGGTTCATGCTGCGAGTGTCAAACCCAAAACAGCCTGGTCGCGAATCAGAACCCCAACTCCCTTGCGCCGCCACGCGTTTCGGAAGCTATACTTCCACAATGAAACTTCTACCCGGCCATCCACGGCCACACGGTCACACGCCGTCGGTCCTTCTGCACAAAGTCGAAGGCAGCCTCCTGGGCTCTGGGCGCTGCCGCGACTTTCCGTTGAGAGCTGGGCCACCCACCAGGGCTGGGATGAATTGATGCTCCTGAGACACTCTGTCGCTGAAAGGTCCGGAAAGTCCTCATGTCTCTGCAGCCATTCCCTCCTCTTGTCCGGCAAGCTCATGAACCACTGCGTACCTCGCAACGCACTTAATGATAGTTGCAAACAGCAACTGCTTGAAACTCTTGAATTTGCAGGTTTCCGCAAACTGCTTGATTTGCTACAAAAGTATGAGGCCCGGCGGCCTGAACAATGCGCTAAAGTTTGGGCAGCGCATGCTCCATTTGATGCTCTCAGGGCTCAAGAACACATTGAGGGTGCCACGCCAGCGTCTGAACCACTCGCGTAGATATCAATTGCCCGTAAATACCATGCCCGTCCTGAGCGTCGAGGCTAATGCCCGCACGCCCTCCCGGACAACCGATTGGAAGGCCATGGATTCTCCCATCTCGTGCCGAGGTGCTGCACAGATTGCCAGCGTCCAGCCATTCTTCAAGTAGGCGATGCAGAAGTTGTCCTTCAGCTGTCACATGATGCCATGCTGGGCCATGGGACACGGGACGCGTCTCAAATGGTCGCGCGACTCGGCACATGGCTTTCCGTTGCATTTTTGCTTGACTCGACCAGAGAGGGAGCCTGCCCCCGACCAGCCTGGTTGGGCAAGAAGTTGGCATTGCCCTTGGAACATAGCACCACCTCAGTTCAACCAACCCCTAGCTGCGGAGCAAGCCGCGGCCGGGCGCCGCACAGGTGGGGCCTTCCCTGGGAAGTGCTTGGCTCCGGAGGAGCCGTGCCAAGCCTTTTCGCGCTCCTCGCCCGCCTCGGAGGCTGTTGATGCAAATCGCGGAAGCCGAAAGAGAATCGGCCGTCGTATTGGCGTCGCTTCTTTTCACATTGTAAATGGAAACTCGCATTGAACTCTGTTTGACTTTACTGTGCATAGGTGTTGGCTGATGAGCAAAATCATCTATTGGACAGAATATCCTGCGCAAATTCTAACTTGAAAAAAACAAACCCAACTCAAGTGAAAGTCCAACAAAGAAAATATGCTTGGATGCCTTCCGTATCAAAGTCTGTTTAAACTCCAATTGAATTGTAGGGTTCTACCGGGAAATAAATTCTATCAACCTTGTTGATTTAAGATTTGCTTGCCGGGGCATCCTTACAATTTCCAGTAGGATGATCTAAATTCGACGTTTCCAGAGAATGTCCCGTAGGATTCGGAACAAGCATGTCCTTATTGAATTCCATCAAATATCATTCAACTTCTATCTGACTTTTGGAGAACAGCCGATGCGAAATGAGTACGAAACACGTTACAACACAGTGTGTTGTGAGGTTTTCATGACCATCATATCGCTGGGTCTAGCACAATTTTGGGACCTCTGATTTATTTCCTTGTGAATTCTACTGGCAATCTTGATCAAATGCCACACAATGTCTGACTGAAACTAAATACACACTCGAAAGGAAAGGAAATGATCCAGTCATAACTTTTCAATTCTAAATTGGAACTTAAATACTAATTGTTCTATGCCAACTAAACTTTACACAGGACGTCCTGTCCAACAGAGTGGCCTTTACAAATCAAATCCGCTAAGATTTCAGACTGCACCAAGGCTTGGATGTGAACTACACAAGCGCACTTGAACACACAAGCTCTCGCACACAGGCCGGAAACGGGGAAATGCAAACAATACAGAAAACCTCGAGAAAACCAAACACGTAAACAGAAAAGAAACGGACAGTTCAGACCTATGTCCAAGATCCTGGCACCACTCCCCGATGGGTCTGAACTTTTTGTCATCTTGTTTTGTTGTTATTGGTTTTACCGGGTTTTGTTTGGCATTTGTTGGACAAGTGCGAATAACCTCGAGAAAACAACAACAACAATACAAAACAAAGTTCGGACCCATGCCCGGATCCTGGAACCACTCCTGTCTGAACTTCTGTTTGTTTTGGAACTGCTGCTGCAGCTCCAGATCGTTCAGGATGAGGCGGTTGCAGTCGTAGGCTACGCTCAGGCTGTTCGTGGTCTCGCTGTAGGTGGCAGTAGCAACTCCAGGGTTGACCCACCAAGACGATACAATGCATGTCCCAAGTGCAGAGGCACGCGCACACTGTTTCATGTTTAGCTTCAGGATGTGAAAGCCGCTCGCTCAGGGCAACGTGTTCTGAAAAAAGGCAGGGGTACTCCCTTTGCGATGGGACAGGCAAACCGACAGGAAACCAACGACTGGGAGGTCCCTTATTTTGAGACGGACCCATTGTCTACAGGGATCTGCCCTACTCGTTTTAATCCAACCAATACATCTAAGCGTGCCGCTACCTGACCTTCTCCGCTTCGTCCGTATGCGAGGCACAGCGTGTCTTCCCACCAACCTCCAGGGCAGAACATGGCCCCATCGTGGGTCGGCCGTTACCCTCCGGCCGAGCCGCATTGCTTGAGCTCCTCGTCTGTCAGCGGCTCCTGCCTCAGCTCCCATCCAATGTTACTTTTCGCCGTGCCGATGCTGAGGTCCCAGCAGCGATTCCTGTGCAAAGGCCAAGGCACCCACCAATCTTGTCCCCTCAAAGCGTGCCATGAGAGAAAACGTCAGGGCCGCACAAGCGCAGCTCCGAGACAAGTGTGCCACCCGCCTCCATGCATGTTATGCCCCCATGGCCCCACAGCTGAACTGCGTGCTGCGCTCCAGCACAAAATGGCCGCATTCTCAAGACAATGCCGTGGCAAGCACTGTTGCAACATGCTCTCATCATGCATCAATAGCTGGGGGCTGCACAACATTGAAGAACTCACAGGAAAATAAGTGACCCACAGTAGACCCAGCTGGCAGACCAGGACTTTTTCCTTCTGCCTGCTCTAGGCGGGCAGTTGCAAGCGCTGAAGCCTGACTAGCTAGTGAAGAAACCTAGCGCTTGCACAGGAACCTGCAGTTCCTTGGGAACCTTCTTTGGCAGGATGCAATGAAAAGGCTCTGACCAATCAAAACAGCTGGAAGACATGTGGCTAGCTGCTCGCATTTTGGCCGGGGTCCGAGGTGTGGCAACATCTGGCACAATGGCGCACTTCGGCGCACCCTTGTGCTTTCAGAACGCCCCTGCGAAGCACAGGCCTCGCAAATAAGCACTAAGCTACCCAAGTATGTGGCTGGGGTCAAAAGCTACACCAAAAACGTGCCCTCCTCCTGGCAAAACCTCAGGGCAAGATGCCCTGAGGCACCTGCCCGACAAAGACCACAGCCGGGTCGCTACGTTCCTTCACTGTTCCTGAGGTTCTGCACAGCAGCCTGGCACTCTGCACGTGGCCGGGCCTGCACTCTAGTTTGCTGGGTGCTCCCGCATGCCGCACGGGTCCACACGAGCTCTCTGTTGTTGGAAACCGTCCGTTTGAGAATCTGTTTAACGGTTTTGTCCGTTTCCGTGCTGCCCCCAGAAAAAGCCCGCGATAGCCCACGACTGGACCCGTCACTGCAGCCTTCGCCTCTGCCACTGCCACAGGCTCCCCCATGCTGGCCGATGCTGCTGGCTCCTGCATCTTGCAGCTTTCGCACGTTCTTTGCTGATCTGGGAAGGGGGAGATCCTACTTGGAGCCAAAGCGGACAACCAACATAACAATCTCAAACCAACAATGACCAGACCAATCCTGTGAAAAGCCTGTAGGCTGAACAGCCCAAACAATTCCGAAGAAAGACACCTTTGCTCTGGGTTACCCTCGGCCAAAGCATCAGCCCCTCTGATCCGCCTCCTCTCCAGCGGCCGCCAGCACCATTGGAGAAAGCACGCTTGCCACAATCTCTGCGTGCGCGGGGTCCGAATGCCCACTGTCCACCTCCTGCCAATGGCAAGGCGCCAGCCGACAGCCAATGTCAAAAAAAGCTCCTCATGTTCCTGCACAGTGCCGGAGCCGCTTGATGCCCCCGCCTACCAGCCAGACTTGTAAAGCAATAAAAGCGGCAGCCGGCTGGGAGACAACGAAGCAACGCAAGAAGTTGCGCCTGAGCTGACAGCATTGAAGGCAGCGCTTTCGCCATGAGGTCTTCATCCTGTCGGGTTTGGGTTGCTCCGCCAAGGGTTTCAAGAGGATGGCCTCACAACTTTTCTTCGTCGGTACCTTTTCACATCACAGCTGTTTTAAACAGAGATATTTGGCTGTGCTTCGGGTCACCCTGCGGTGGCCCGTCAAGAAAGCAACAGAAAAGCATTTGGGAGAAGCAAGTTGCAGGACCCCAAATTTCAAAACGAGCTCCAAACATGATCGCTCCATCTCCTAGAGTCAATTTGGCACCTGTTGGTTTGGGGCAGTTGGTTTAGCATTCAAGGTGTTAGATTATTGCCTTTACCTTCGCTGTGGCTCATCGCAGCTTTCGTGCTTGCCTGGCAACTTTGCCAAAATATCGATCAGCGATCCCAGGACTCGCCTACCTGAAGCGTTCCAAGCCGTGGCTTTGAGTGGCCTAAAGCAAGTATCTGGACCACTGCACACGCCTTCCACTTGCTTGGCTCGGGAAGTGCGTTGCCGCAGCTCTTGCGCGGAAGTCGTGGTTTTGATGCATGAAAGTAGCAGTTCGTGTCGGCACCTCTGGCTTTGCGCAGCTGGCAGCTTTGCGCAGCTTTGCCTATGCGAAGCTCTGCTCTGCGCTCCTTGTAGCTTTGCCGCTGCGCTGCGGGGAGCCCGTCAAGGACTTGCAAAAAAAACACATGCGCGACTGTAGCGCAAGGATCGAAAATGGAACCAATCCAGAACCAAAACAATGAGAACGCTGAGGACAAGCCGCTACGCTATGCAGGCCGACCCTGGCCACCCAGCTCCTCCATGATGCAGGCGTCAGACTTTGGCGCGCCTGCTGCCTCGATAAATGTCACGGGCTAAGCAGACTCATCTGCTTCGTGACTTGTCCATCCTAAGCCCTACGTCCTGCGCAAAGCCCCGATGCCGCAACTTTCTAGCTGTCTGGCTGGACTTTCGTTCAAAGCAGTTGGACCCACGCGCCTGCTGGGTCACCTCTTGTGCCAGCGCCTTCGCCAACTCCACGCCCCCGGCACGGTCCTGTGACACTTGCGCGCTTTCAACTCGAGGAACGTGCCGGGACACGCTAGGCTTGCCCAGGCACCATTCTGTCACCTCAACCTCTCGCTCTACCCATTGGGGCAACTGACTTGCGACCCCCCCGGCGCCTGCCCGGAGCCGCCGTAGCCGCTGCCGACCTCCTGGCGCGAGCAAACACTCCAGGGACAGCGCAAGCAAGCACGTACCACCAAGTTCACTTTCACCCTAGCGAATCTACCAGCAGGAACAGCGCCAAACATGGTGAAACCGCGGCGAAGCACAAGGCAGTTCGGTCCTCGGGCTCTTGCGCGGTCTTTGGCATTGAGCTCACCAAATCTTCCACCTGCCAGACCCCGAGCCCTTGACTCCATCCTCTGCATGGAAAGGCGGCAGGGAAACGCCGAAGCAGGCGGGAAGTCAGTTTGGCTCAGGCTGCAGGTGTTGAGTTTGTGGGGCACCGGTGTTGAGTGTCAGGAATGCAGCAGGCGGGGTCAGCTAGGCCTGCACCAAGTTTGCGGGGCACAAGTATCGAGGCCGCGCTGTGAAAAAAAACAAAAACAAAAGAGCATCGCGGGGCGGCACGCAACCGCAAGAGGGAAAACCAGAAGCAGGCGGGATGTTAGCTTGGAGCAGGCGAGAGGTCGTTTGGCACGGCCTGCGGCAAGCAGCAGCGCAAGTTTGTGGGGCATAAGTCCCGCAAAAAAGTCGGTGAGAGCATCCCTCGCGCGATAAAGACCGCTGACTTAGTCCTGCAGACACGATCTGCGCGTAGAGTTGCATCTTGCTAAAGCAAGGGAACTCAGAAAGCTACGCTTCCTTTTGCCACCTTCCAGACCCCAAGCCCTTGACTCCATGCCTGCAGCTCTGGCACATAGCCAAACACTCAGTCAGCTATTGACATACTGGCACTTGTGTCTGTTCCAGCCTGCATTGGCGGCGCCGAGCCCTGAGGTTCCTGCCCCAAGCATCAAGCCGTTTGCATCTTTGACTTTTTGGGGGGGTGGGTGATGCTAGGCCTAGAGCCCCACATCCTACCCCATCCAACACGCCTCCCGCAAGTTGAGCACACCATTCAAGAAGCACATCCATGCAAAACGGGATCGCAACAACACATTCAAAAACGCACGTCCAGCTCCTCCATGATGCAGGCGTCAGACTTTGGCGTGCCTGCTGCCTCGACGAATGTCACTGATCAAGCAATGACGCTTCCTAACTTGTCCGTTCGTCATGAACAAACGTGCTGTTTCTCACAAGATCTAGCTGTCTGGCTGGACTTTCGTTCAAAGCAGCTTGCTATCACCCACGGCCCGCCACCCTCGCCTGCTGGGTCACCTCTTGTGCCAGCGCCTTCGCCAACTCCACGCCCCCGGCACGGTCCTGTGACGCTTGCTCGCTTTCAACTCGAGGAACGTGCCGGGACACGCTGGGCTTGCCCAGGCACCATTCTGTCGCTTCAACCTCTCGCTCTACCCATTGGGGCAACTGACTTGCGACCCCTCGGCGCCTGCCCGGAGCCGCCGTAGCCGCTGCCGACCTCCTAGCGCGAGCAAACACTCCAGGGACAGCGCAAGCAAGCACGTACCACCAAGTTCACTTTCACCCTAGCGAATCTAGACATGGTGAAACCGCGGCGAAGCACAAGGCAGTTCGGTCCTCGGGCTCTTGCGCGGTCTTTGGCATTGAGCTCACCAAATCTTCCACCTGCCAGACCCCTAGCCCTTGACTCCATCCTCTGCATGGAAAGGCGGCAGGGAAACGCCGAGGCAGGCGGGAAGTCAGTTTGGCTCAGGCTGCAGGTGTTGAGTTTGTGGGGCACCGGTGTTGAGTGTCAGGAATGCAGCAGGCGGGGTCAGCTAGGCCTGCACCAAGTTTTGCGGGGCACAAGTATCGAGGCCGCGCTGTGAAAAAATAAACGAAAGAGCATCGCGGGGCGGCACGCAACCGCAAGAGGGAAAACCAGAAGAAGGCGGGATGTTAGCTTGCAGCAGGCGAGAGGTCAGTTTGGCACGGCCTGCGGCAAGCAGCAGCGCAAGTTTGTGGGGCATAAGTCCCGCAAAAAAGTCGGTGAGAGCATCCCTCGCGCGATAAAGACCGCTGACTTAGTCCTGCAGACACGATCTGCGCGTAGAGTTGCATCTTGCTAAAGCAAGGGAACTCAGAAAGCTACGCTTCCTTTTGCCACCTTCCAGACCCCAAGCCCTTGACTCCATGCCTGCAGCTCTGGCACACAGCCAAACACTCAGTCAGCTATTGACATAGTGGCACTTGTGTCTGTTCCAGCCTGCATTGGTGGCGCCGAGCTCTGAGGTTCCTGCCCCAAGCATCAAGCCGTTTGCATCTTTGACTTTTTGGGGGGGGTGGGTGATGCTAGGCCTAGAGCCCCACATCCTACCCCATCCAACACGCCTCCCGCAAGTTGAGCACACCATTCAAGAAGCACATCCATGCAAAACGGGATCGCAACAACACATTCAAAAACGCACGCCCAGATCCTCCATGATGCAGGCGTCAGACTTTGGCGTGCCTGCTGCCTCGACGAATGCCACTGATCAAGCAATCACGCTTCATAACTTGTCCATCCTAATAATAAGCCGTTCGTCATGAAAAAAACATGCTGTCTCTCACAAGATTTAGCCGTCTGGCTGGACTTTCGTTCAAAGCAGGTTGCCATCACCCACGCCCGCCACCCGTGCCTGCTGGGTCACCTCTTGTGCCAGCGCCTTCGCCAACTCCACGCCCCCGGCACGGTCCTGTGACGCTTGCTCGCTTTCAACTCGAGGAACGTGCCGGGACACGCTAGGCTTGCCCAGGCACCATTCTGTCGCCTCAACCTCTCGCTCTACCCATTGGGGCAACTGACTTGCGACACCCCCGGCGCCTGCCCTGAGCAGCCGTAGCCGCTGCCGACCTCCTGGCGCGAGCAAACACTCCAGGTACAGCGCAAGCAAGCACGTACCACCAAGTTCACTTTCACCCTAGCGAATCTACCAGCAGGAACAGCGCCAAACATGGTGAAACCGCGGCGAAGCACAAGGCAGTTCGGTCCTCGGGCTCTTGCGCGGTCTTTGGCATTGAGCTCACCAAATCTTCCACCTGCCAGACCCCTAGCCCTTGACTCCATCCTCTGCATGGAAAGGCGGCAGGGAAACGCCGAGGCAGGCGGGAAGTCAGTTTGGCTCAGGCTGCAGGTGTTGAGTTTGTGGGGCACCGGTGTTGAGTGTCAGGAATGCAGCAGGCGGGGTCAGCTAGGCCTGCACCAAGTTTGCGGGGCACAAGTATCGAGGCCGCGCTGTGAAAAAATAAACGAAAGAGCATCGCGGGGCGGCACGCAACCGCAAGAGGAAAAGACAGAAGCAGGCGGGATGTTCGCTTAGAGCAGGCGAGAGGTCAGTTTGGCACGGCCTGCGGCAAGAAAAGGGGCAAGTTTCTGAGCAAAAGTCCGGCAAAAAAGTTGGTAAGAGCATCCCTCGAGCGCTAAAGACCGCTGACTCAGTCCTGCAGACACGATCTGCCGTAGACTTGCATCTTGCTAAAGCAAGGGAGCTCAGCTAGCTACGCTTCCTTTTGCCACCTTCAAGACCCCAAGCCCTTGACTCCATGCCTGCAGCTCTGGCACACAGCCAAACACTCAGTCAGCTATTGACATAGTGGCACTTGTGTCTGTTTCAGCCTGCATTGGTGGCGCCGAGCCCTGAGGTTCCTGCGCCAAGCATCAAGCCGTTTGCATCTTTGACTTTTTGGGGGGGTGGGTAATGCTAGGCCTAGAGCCCCACATCCTACCCCATCCAACACGCCTCCCGCAAGTTGAGCACACCATTCAAGAAGCACATCCATGCAAAAACGGGATCGCAACAACACATTCAAAAACGCAACGCCCAGCTCCTCCATGATGCAGGCGTCAGACTTTGGCGTGCCTGCTGCCTCACGCTTCATAACTTGTCCATCCTAAGCCGTTCGTCATGAACAAACCATGCTGTTTCTCACAAGATTTAGCTGTGTGGCTGGACTTTCGTTCAAAGCAGCTTGCTATCACCCACGGCCCGCCACCCGCGCCTGCTGGGTCACCTCTTGTGCCAGCGCCTTCGCCAACTCCACGCCCCCGGCACGGTCCTGTGACGCTTGCTCGCTTTCAACTCGAGGAACGTGCCGGGACACGCTAGGCTTGCCCAGGCACCATTCTGTCGCCTCAACCTCTCGCTCTACCCATTGGGGCAACTGACTTGCGACACCCCCGGCGCCTGCCCGGAGCCGCCGTAGCCGCTGCCGACCTCCTGGCGCGAGCAAACACTCCAGGTACAGCGCAAGCAAGCACGTACCACCAAGTTCACTTTCACCCTAGCGAATCTACCAGCAGGAACAGCGCCAAACATGGTGAAACCGCGGCGAAGCACCAGGCAGTTCGGTCCTCGGGCTCTTGCACGGTCTTTGGCATTGAGCTCACCAAATCTTCCACCTGCCAGACCCCGAGCCCTTGACTCCATCGTCTGCATGGAAAGGCGGCAGGGAAACGCCGAGGCAGGCGGGAAGTCAGTTTGGCTCAGGCTGCAGGTGTTGAGTTTGTGGGGCACCGGTGTTGAGTGTCAGGAATGCAGCAGGCGGGGTCAGCTAGGCCTGCACCAAGTTTTGCGGGGCACAAGTATCGAGGCCGCGCTGTTAAAAAATAAACGAAAGAGCATCGCGGGGCGGCACGCAACCGCAAGAGGGAAAACCAGAAGCAGGCGGGATGTTAGCTTGGAGCAGGCGAGAGGTCAGTTTGGCACGGCCTGCGGCAAGCAGCAGCGCAAGTTTGTGGGGAATAAGTCCCGCAAAAAAGTCGGTGAGAGCATCCCTCGCGCGATAAAGACCGCTGACTTAGTCCTGCAGACACGATCTGCGCGTAGAGTTGCATCTTGCTAAAGCAAGGGAACTCAGAAAGCTACGCTTCCTTTTGCCACCTTCCAGACCCCAAGCCCTTGACTCCATGCCTGCAGCTCTGGCACATAGCCAAACACTCAGTCAGCTATTGACATAGTGGCACTTGTGTCTGTTCCAGCCTGCATTGGTGGCGCCGAGCCCTGAGGTTCCTGCCTCAAGCATCAAGCCGTTTGCATCTTTGACTTCCGCTGGGGGGGTGGGTGATGCTAGGCCTAGAGCCCTACATCCTACCATAGCCTACCACATCCAACACGCCTCCCCCAAGCTGAACACAAAGCTATTCAATAAGAACGTCCATGCAAAAACGGGCGCCCAGCTCCTCCATGATGCAGGCGTCAGACTTTGGCGTGCCTGCTGCCTCACGCTTCATAACTTGTCCATCCTCAGCCGTTCGTCATGAACAAACCATGCTGTTTCTCACAAGATTTAGCTGTCTGGCTGGACTTTCGTTCAAAGCAGGTTGCCATCACCCACGCCCGCCACCCGCGCCTGCTGGGTCACCTCTTGTGCCAGCGCCTTCGCCAACTCCACGCCCCCGGCACGGTCCTGTGACGCTTATCGAGGCCGCGCTGTGAAAAAAAACAAAAACGAAAGAGCATCGCGGGGCGGCACGCAACCGCAAGAGGGAAAACCAGAAGCAGGCGGGATGTTAGCTTGGAGCAGGCGAGAGGTCGTTTGGCACGGCCTGCGGCAAGCAGCAGCGCAAGTTTGTGGGGCATAAGTCCCGCAAAAAAGTCGGTGAGAGCATCCCTCGCGCGATAAAGACCGCTGACTTAGTCCTGCAGACACGATCTGCCCGTAGACTTGTATCTTGCTAAAGCGAGGGAACTCAGAAAGCTACGCTTCCTTTTGCCACCTTCCAGACCCCAAGCCCTTGACTCCATGCCTGCAGCTCTGGCACACAGCCAAACACTCAGTCAGCTATTGACATACTGGCACTTGTGTCTGTTCCAGCCTGCATTGGTGGCGCCGAGCCCTGAGGTTCCTGCCCCAAGCATCAAGCCGTTTGCATCTTTGACTTTTTTTGGGGGGGGTGGGTGATGCTAGGCCTGGAGCCCCACATCCTACCCCATCCAACACGCCTCCCGCAAGTTGAGCACACCATTCAAGAAGCACATCCATGCAAAACGGGATCGCAACAACACATTCAAACACGCTCGCCCAGCTCCTCCATGATGCAGGCGTCAGACTTTGGCGCGCCTGCTGCCTCGACAAATGCCACGGGCCAAGCAGACTCATCGTCTTCATGACTTGTCCATCCTAAGCCCTACGTCCTGCGCAAAGCCCCGATGCCGCAACTAGCTTTCAAAGCAGCTTGCTATCACCCACGGCCCGCCACCCGTGCCTGCTGGGTCACCTCTTGTGCCAGCGCCTTCGCCAACTCCACGCCCCCGGCACGGTCCTGCGTGCCGGGACACGCTAGGCTTGCCCAGGCACCATTCTGTCGCCTCAACCTCTCGCTCTACCCATGGGGGCAACTGACTTGCGACCCCCCCGGCGCCTGCCCGGAGAGCAAACACTCCAGGGACAGCGCAAGCAAGCACGTACCACCAAGTTCACTTTCACCCTAGCGAATCTACCAGCAGGAACAGCTTGGCTCAGGCTGCAGGTGTTGAGTTTGTGGGGCACCGGTGTTGAGTGTCAGGAATGCAGCAGGCGGGGTCAGCTAGGCCTGCACCAAGTTTGCGGGGCACAAGTATCGAGGCCGCGCTGTGCAAAAAATAAGCGAAAGAGCATCGCGGGGCGGCACGCAACCGCAAGAGGAAAAACCAGAAGCAGGCGGGATGTTAGCTTGGAGCAGGCGAGAGGTCAGTTTGGCACGGCCTGCGGCAAGCAGCAGCGCAAGTTTGTGGGGCATAAGTCCCGCAAAAAAGTCGGTAAGAGCATCCCTCGCGCGAGAAAGACCGCTGACTTAGTCCTGCAGACACGATCTGCCCGTACACTTGCATCTTGCTAAAGCAAGGGAACTCAGAAAGCTACGCTTCCTTTTGCCACCTTCCAGACCCCAAGCCCTTGACTCCGCCTGCAGCTCTGGCACACAGCCAAACACTCAGTCAGCTATTGACATACTGGCACTTGTGTCTGTTCCAGCCTGCATTGGTGGCGCCGAGCCCTGAGGTTCCTGCCCCAAGCATCAAGCCGTTTGCATCTTTGACTTCCGCTGGGGGGGGTGGGTGATGCTAGGCCTAGAGCCCCACATCCTACCATAGCCTACCACATCCAACACGCCTCCCCCAAGCTGAACACAAAGCTATTCAATAAGAACATCCATGCAAAAACGGGCGCCCAGCTCCTCCATGATGCAGGCGTCAGACTTTGGCGTGCCTGCTGCCTCGCGCTTCATAACTTGTCCATCCTAAGCCGTTCGTCATGAACAAACCATGCTGTTTCTCACAAGATTTAGCTGTCTGGCTGGACTTTCGTTCAAAGCAGGTTGCCATCACCCACGCCCGCCACCCGTGCCTGCTGGGTCACCTCTTGTGCCAGCGCCTTCGCCAACTCCACGCCCCCGGCACGGTCCTGTGAGCTTTCAACTCGAGGAACGTGCCGGGACACGCTAGGCTTGCCCAGGCACCATTCTGTCGCCTCAACCTCTCGCTCGACCCATTGGGGCAACTGACTTGCGACACCCCCGGCGCCTGCCCGGAGCCGCCGTAGCCGCTGCCGACCTCCTGGCGCGAGCAAACACTCCAGGTACAGCGCAAGCAAGCACGTACCACCAAGTTCACTTTCACCCTAGCGAATCTACCAGCAGGAACAGCGCCAAACATGGTGAAACCGCGGCGAAGCACAAGGCAGTTCGGTCCTCGGGCTCTTGCGCGGTCTTTGGCATTGAGCTCACCAAATCTTCCACCTGCCAGACCCCGAGCCCTTGACTCCATCCTCTGCATGGAAAGGCGGCAGGGAAACGCCGAAGCAGGCGGGAAGTCAGTTTGGCTCAGGCTGCAGGTGTTGAGTTTGTGGGGCACCGGTGTTGAGTGTCAGGAATGCAGCAGGCGGGGTCAGCTAGGCCCGCACCAAGTTTGCGGGGCACAAGTATGGAGGCCGCGCTGTGAAAAAAAAAGAGCGAAAGAGCATCGCGGGGCGGCACGCAACAGCAAGAGGAACAACCAGAAGCAGGCGGGACGTTAGCTGGGAGCAGGCAAGAGGTCAGTTTGGCACGGCCTGCGGCAAGCAGCAGGGAAAGTTTGCGGGGCATAAGTCCCGCAAAAAAGTCGGTGAGAGCATCCCTCGCGCGATAAAGACCGCTGACTCAGTCCTGCAGACACGACCTGCCGGTAGACTTGCATCTTGCTAAAGCAAGAGAACTCAGCAAGCTACGCTTCCTTTCGCCACCTTCCAGACCCCAAGCCCTTGACTCCATGCCTGCAGCTCTGGCACACAGCCACACACTCAGTTAGCTATTGACATACTGGCACTTGTGTCTGTTCCAGCCTGCATTGATGGTGCCGAGCCCTGAAGTTCCTGCCCCAAGCATCAAGCCGTTTGCATCTTTGACTTCCGCTGGGTGGGTGGGTGATGCTAGGCCTAGAGCCCCACTTCCTACCACATCCTACCACATCCAACACGCCTCCCCGAAGCTGAACACAAAGCTATTCAAACAGCACATCCATGCAAAAACGGGATCGAAATTCAAAAACGCACGCCCAGCTCCTCCATGATGCAGGCGTCAGACTTTGGCGCGCCTGCTGCCTCGACAAATGTCACGGGCCAAGCAGACTCATCGGCTTCGTGACTTGTCCATCCTAAACCCTACGTCATGAACAAACGTGCTCCCCCATGCCGCAACTGTCTGGCTGGACTTTCGTTCAAAGCAGTTGGACCCACGCGCCTGCTGGGTCGCCTCTTGTGCCAGCGCACTCGCCAACTCCACTCCCCCGGCACGGTCCTGTGACTCCAGCTACCAGCCACCACGCAATGCCGTTGGAATGCAACGCGTCCTGCTGAAGATCGGAGCATGCACTCTCTGCGTCCTGCCAACCACGGAAGCAAGGCCACTGTCATTGAGCAAGCAACAGCAGCACCAAAGTTGATTTCCAGCCTCTTGCCGCACTGCAAATCGAAACACGGACTCCGATCACATACGCATGCACGGTCAACCATGGGCGTCTCCTCTCGAGGGTTGGCAGCAAGCACCATGCGAGAGAGAACGCCTGCCACCAGGTCTGCATGCGCAGGGTCGGAATGCCCACTTTCCACCTCCTGCGCATGCCATGTAGGACGCATGCTTGGTGCCCACCCGTGTCCTCACACCCCTGGCCTCACACTCCCCCCTCCTTGCCTTCAATCCATGGCCAATCCATGCCCATACGGCTCCTCATGCTCCTGAATGGTGCCAGAATGGCTCGACCGCTCCGCCTGCCAATTCCGACATGCAATTACACACCACACTCCAAGGACAGCGTGTGAAGTTCTTAAGTATCCAACAAGTCCAGCTGACCAACCCCCGTCTGCGACATGCTGCGCGCGCCCACAAGCGCAAACAATGAGCCGCATCACCGGGCCTGAGCTGACAGCGTCCCAGCCAGCGCTTTTGCCACGATGCCCACGTCCTCTCAGGCGTCAGTCTCCAAGCTGGGTGCAGGCGGAAATGCACACATACTTCTCATTGTCGTTGGAATGCCGTGCTTCTCCCACCCCCACCCCCCCCGCCCAGACTACATCGCGTCCTGCTGCAGATCGGAGCATGCACTCTCTGCGTCCTGCCGCTACAAAGGCAAGGCCATTGTAACTTGAGCTGCACCAAACTAGAATGCCAGATCCCGAAAGCCTTTTTTGGGTATCTGCTCCAGCCAAAGGACTCTTGCCACGCTGCAAATCGAAACACGGACTCCGATCACATACACATGCACGGTCAACGATGGGCATCTCCTCTCGAGGGTTGGCAGCAAGCACCATGCGAGAGAGAACACCTGCCACCAGGTCTGCATGCGCAGGGTCGGAATGCCCACTGTCCACCTCCTGCCCAGACAAGTGAGCAGACAGGGCGCCATGACTAAGCCCAAGACCATACTACCCTGAAGCACTTGCCTCTTTCTCTCAGTACACCCCTGTGCATGCTGTGTAGGCCATATGCTTGGTGCCCACCCGTGTCCTCAAACCTCTGTCTTCACACTCCTTCCTCCTTCCCTTCAATCCATGGCCAATCCATGCCCACAAGGCTCCTCATGCTCCTGAATGGTGCCAGAATGGCTCGACCGCTCCGCCTGCCAATTCAGACATGCAAACACACATCACGCTCGAAGCACAGCATAATCCAACCCTGCACCTGCAACATGCCGCTTGCGCCCAGGAAACCAGGAAGACTCACAAGAAATCAGCCGCATCACTGGGCCTGAGCTGACAGCATCCCAGCCAGCGCTTTTGCCACAATGCCCACGTCCTCTCAGGCGTCAGTCTCCAAGCTGGGTGCAGGCGGAAATGCACACATACTTCTCACTGTCGTTGGAATGCCGTGCTTCCCCCACCCCCACCCCCCCTGCCCAAACTACACGTCGTCCTGCTGAAGATCGGAGCATGCACTCTCTGCGTCCTGCCGCTACAAAAGCAAGGCCATTGTAACTTGAGCTGCACCAAACTAGAATGCCAGATCCCGAAAGCCTTTTTTGGGTATCTGCTCCAGCCAAAGGGCTCTTGCGACACTGCAAATCGAAACACGGACTCCGATCACATACACATGCACGGTCAACCATGGGCCTCTCCTCTCGAGGGTTGGCTGCAAGCACCATGCGAGAGAGAACACCTGCCACCAGGTCTGCATGCGCAGGGTCGGAATGCCCACTGTCCACCTCCTGCCCAGACAAGTGAGCGGACAGGGCGCCATAACTAAGCCCAAGACCATATTGCCCTGAAGCACTTGCCTCTTGCTCTCAGTACACCCCTGTGCATGCTGTGTAGGGCGCCAAGCATGTGCCTCACACCCCTGTCCTCACACTCCTCCCTCCTTTCCTTCAATCCATGGCCAATCCATGCCCACAAGGCTCCTCATGCTCCTGAATGGTGCCAGAATGGCTCGACCGCTCCGCCTGCCAATTCAGACATGCAAACACACATCACGCTCGAAGCACAGCATAATCCAACCCTGCACCTGCAACATGCCGCTTGCGCCCAGGAAACCAGGAATACTCAGAAGAAATCAGCCGCATCACTGGGCCTGAGCTGACAGCATCCCAGCCAGCGCTTTTGCCACAATGCCCACGTCCTCTCAAGCGTCAGTCTCCAAGCTGGGTGCAAGCGGAAATGCACACATACTTCTCACTGTCGTTGGAATGCCGTGCTTCTCCCACCCCACCCCCCCCTGCCCAAACTACACGTCGTCCTGCTGAAGATCGGAGCATGCACTCTCTGCGTCCTGCCGCTACAAAAGCAAGGCCATTGTAACTTGAGCTGCACCAAACTAGAATGCCATTTCCCGAAAGCCTTTTTTTGGTATCTGCTGCAGCCAAAGGGCTCTTGCGACACTGCAAATC